TGGTGGGATCAGCCATATTGTTCACTCTGTCCATTGGCTGTTCAGAGCAGGGATGTCATCCTCCAGGCCAGGATGTGCTCCACTCTTTCTTCCTCCCCCTTCATTTGCTCCCATTTGCTCTATCAGACATGCTCCTCTCCCCTAGCTGCAGCTTCAGTGCCGTCCTCTAAAGTAAATTATTCTGGGGAAAGGGTCAGTTGTCCATGTAGCTGGTATGGGAGCTGGGCCCTCAGGTCCCTCCCACAGTGATTATTTTTATGGAAAGGGTATGGTATTGGCAAAATAAATATTGAACAGTTTTATTTCTTGATGCTATAAACTGCTTTTTAAAAAAATCAGTTTATTAGGGGCTCATACAACTGTTATCACAATCCATACATACATCAGTTGTGTAAAGCATATTTGTACATTCATTGCCCATATCATTCTCAAAACATTTGCTCTCCACTTATGCTCTGGCATCAGCTCCTCATTTTTTCCCTCGCCCCCAGTCCCCTCTCCCTCATGAACCCTTGATAATTGATAAATTATTATTTTGTCATATCTTACACTTTCCGACGTCTCCCGTCACCCACTTTTCTGTTGTCCATCCCCCAGGGAGGAGGTTATATAGAGATCCTTGTAAGCAGTTTCCCCTTTCCACCCCACCCTCCCTCCACGCTATAAACTACTTCTAAGAACCAAATTGTCAAAGCTTTGTTGAATATATGTGAAATGTTTAATTCATGTGTTTGTTTTGTTTTGATTTTGCAATTTAGGAAGCCCATGAAACCTTTAATGAGTGGTTTAAGCATATGAATTCCGCTCCTCAGAAGCCTACTTTAACTCCTCAGGCAACTTTCACTGAGACAGTGGCTTATGAACACAAAGAAAAGAAATATGAAGTAAGTTGACCATGGACATGAGATGTTTTTATTTCCTTTAAAAAATGACTGTTAACATAAAGAGGTCGTTATTATAATGGGTGATTTTCCAGTTAATATCCTGCTTTGACAAAGAAGTCTCTCATTACTTCTTTGTAAGTATCCAAACATGAAAAATATTGTAGGAGACTTTATACATCTGCCTCATGTTTGTTTTGCAGATGGATTTTGGCATTTGGAAGGGACATTTGGATGCCCTAACTGCTGATGTAAAGGAGAAAATGTATAACGTCCTATTGTTTGTTGATGGAGGGTGGATGGTGGATGTTAGAGAGGTAAGTTATGCGCATTATGGCTAACTACATTTTTTTTAATATCATTAAAAAGTACCTGACTTTGAATAGGTACATATTCTCATACCGCCTTTGTACTTATCATCCATATTTTAAGGGTAAGCTGAATATGCTAGCTGGGAACTTAGAATGTTTGACTCTTCGGTGAACCATTTTCTCAAGATACTAAAATCCAATTTTTAAGAATATCTGAGTTTTAAAACTGAATTATACTTGTATTTAGTCAATTCGGGTATATCAAATAAGCCTTGGTTTTCTGGACCTCCTGCTTCTCTACCTTTGAGAGGGTGCATTCTGACCACTTTTTTATCTCTTGTTTTAGTGTCAAATATTTACATTTCCCTCCTCTTGACTGGTTTTCACCTTACGTAATTTATCAACTTTCACAAGTTTCATTGTGTAAAATAGTGACTTTCATCTCTAAGTCACCCATCTGAATGGGATAAGCCTCATCCCAGAACTGTGGACAACTGGACTTTTTTTTTTTTAATCATCTGGAGAGTTTTGTGTGGTCTGATTTCAAACTGCTGGCACAAAAGTACTAAATGGCTTCAGAAAGGCACAGATAAGGTTATTTATGAGTCCAGGAAAAGAAACCATTACTTCCAGAGTTGCTTCAGAGTTGTGTCATTTAACTGACTGCTGAGTGAATAGTGGACTGTAGACTAGTTGAGAGTGGAGTAAAAGAAAGACGCAGCTCATCATCATCATGGGATCAAAGACATTGAGGCTTGCCACCAACAGGGGTAGTAACTCAGTTGCCTCTGCAGACCCGATGCTCTAAGGAGAACTGGAGGCGTTAGATTCTTGTGTGTTTGAAATATTGTTTTAAGTAAAGAAACCCATAGGACTATTCGTGGTATTTTTCTTCTGCCGTTTCCTATTATTTTGGTGTATTTACATTTTTTTGTTTTTAGTGACTGCATCTTTTTATCTCTTGTGGGTCCTCCTTTCTGACCAGAAGCAATAGGTAGTAGAGACAGAAGATTAGACTCAAGTTCTATTTTTCTGGTATTCTTGTTATAGGAATTAATTATCTTCAAATTCTCCATTTTCTGCTTCAATTTTCTAATAGAAGTCTACTGACTTCATACATAGTCTTGAACCTTAAATGGGATGATAACTTCAAATTGTGATCTGTGTTTCTCCCCTTTTCATAAGCATTCTCTGAAATCTTTCTTTTCCTGAGACTCTTAAGTTTATTCTGCATGCTCAGGATAAAGGAAGAAACTGCTTTGAAAATCCAGTGGAAATCAAGCAAGTTATATACCCTACACAATGTAACAAAAAGGAGGTTTTGCAATGATCACAGCAAACAATTGTCTGTACATTTATTTTTCTAAGGCCCAACCAGGATGCCCTGAAGCACTGTGCTCCACGGCTTGCATAAGTGGACGGTGCTTTTTGCCTGGCTGCTTGTCTTTAATTGCTCTGCTTCATCTTCTTCAGTTACAAGACCATCCTTACTGATGAAGCTTCAAAGAAATTTTTAGTACAAAGAAGTGGGCTGTTAAATTTTAGACTTCTAACAAACTAAACATATATTTCTAATATTTTGATTAACAATGGACTCTTTTATTTTAGATTATATTGACATAGACTTCATATATAATATAGCTCAGTAGTTTGTGTGATTAAAAAGAGTTGTGTACTCATCAGTACAATAGTCTTAGAACATTTTTCTTGTACTCATTATTAACTCCCCATTTCCCCCAGCGTCCCCTGACATAACCCCACAAATCCTACAGTGGGTGGGATTCAGAGTTCATTATAAATACAAGGGGGCTTTAAAATGCTTCTGGGAAAATGCCATTTTTTAAAAAAATCCGTTGTTCCACGAATTTTTTTTAATCCCCTTGCATTATCTCACACACCCTTTTCCAACTCAACTTTTTATAGTGTACAACTTATAGCAATTGGTCACTGTCAGTCCTACCCTT